CTGCTGAGTCGTGCTCAACGAAGAGTTAGCTGAAAAAAAAATCGTTAAAATTATCTTCGAGGGTGGCATTTTTATTGATACTTTTTCCGTATTATTTCGAAAAAAAAGGTAATTTATTAAGTTGGTGTCAACGCTGCTGGCAGAGTTCAGACCCTTTCGCGCATGAAAAGTACCGACGCAGCGTTAGAATTAGGAAAAAAAAAAGAAAAAAAAAAGAGCGAATGGTGTGAGATCACATAACTGCACGAAGCAATTTTAGACTCTGGAGCGCCCAGCTTCAGTAAGGAAAAACAGTGCGCATTAACGTATCAGGAAGACGAGAAAAAAATATTACAAAAATAATAAAAACAAAAATAAAACCTACATGTCCAATACAGCAAGTTACGGGTGGCTCGCGCAGAAGAGGGCCTTTCAAGGCGGTCTTGTAAGAAGCTTACAAATGCGCTACTACTCACCAACGGACATTTAACGTGCGGAAAATCATAATTTGAGACAGCTTGCTGAAATGATTAACGACTGCGGAATGGCGCTATCACGACATCTGCTCGTAGCACGCATAGTATAGGAGTTATCAACCCTCGGGCTGGCTCAACGGATAACAACACACGCAGAACGAGGTGCGCGCGCTGTTGTTCGCCTCTCACGTTTATTGGCCGGGTGAAAGTTCAAACACGGCGTGCGCGCGCACGCGTAAAATGATTCAGCTTTCAAAGCATCTCGACAAAGTGGCGCTGTTAGCAATCACCGAGTTGAATATGCCTTGCAGCTAAGGTGTTAAGCGATTCAAGCCGCAATGGCTCAGATGCCGCGTGGAAAGTAGCGTATAATGACTGCTGGGGCTCGGCATCTGTGGTGGTTGGCCTCAAACAGCGCCACCGTTGAAGCGTGATAAGTGCAACACGGCTGGCTGAAAGAGCTACACAACATGGGTATGTTTCTTGTGAGTTTTTCTTGTCACGCGTACAGTTATGAAAAAAAAAGCACTGCCAACGCTCAAAAAAAAAAAAGAATGCTGGAATTTACGTGTCATACCCTCTATTTGATTACAACGGTGACTACCGATTAAATTGACTGCATGATGTTCGATAACGCATGTTTAAAAACTAACTACGTGGTTTTTTTTTTTTGCATTTCTCTGTCACTGAAACCACGTGTCCGCCTTAGTATAACAGTGTAATAACGACGAAAAAAAAAAAAAACCGGTGGAACAGTGGCTTGGGTGCTGCCCCGAAGTTTGTCGGTTCGATCTCGGTTGCGGTGGTCGCTTTTCAATGGAGTCCAAATGCTAAGAGGCCCCTGTACTGTGCGATTTGATTGCACGTTGAAGAACCCCAGATGGTCGAAATTTCAGGAGCCCTCCACTACGACGTCTCATATATATCGTGGTTTTGGGACATAAAACCATAGATATTATTAAAAGCGACCACGAACCGAAGTGACCTACAAGAGCTTAGCAGCATGGTGCCATACTTGCTAAGCGGGTGAAACGTTACGAGCGGAAAGCAATTTAGACGCACCAGATGGCACTTTCCGAGAACAAAATGCCATCCGGAGAATTTCGAAACGTGAAGGTCATAGATAAGGTGCCGGTGGCGTGTTCTTGTGGCGAGGTTGTTTTCGTAGTTTATTATTTTTTTTTATTTCAGCTTTGAAATATCGGAAATAGTGCTGATTTACCGTCAACTTACATTTTGCACGGACACGCTTTCAAGCAGGGCGTATGAACAGCGTGTCAACAGATATGTTCTTACAAAAAACAACAACACTCTTGCATCACGGGTAATTATCCTCTCGCAGAAAATGGCGTGCCTTATATGGTGAATAATAAAAAAAAAGGAAAATATAGAGACTAGCGATCTGGGTTTTCAGTTTTCAGAGTCGTGTTCTTGTTTAGACACGCAGGTACGATGCTGCCTTTGCTCATTGTACTCGCAAGAACTTACTCTGCATAAGATAGCAAGAGAACATTTCAGCCAATCCTGACACGGAACATGCACTTGGCGAAACCATCTGACCAATGGCAAACTTACGAACGAGAAGCTTCATGAATCCGGCCTCTGAAGGGCAGCAGCCCTTCAGGAACAGAAGGTCTCGGTGAGGTTTGAGCGGTGACGTCACAAGGACATTCCCGACAGCTCATGCATTTCAATAGCTTGCGCAGGACACGCTTAGAGGAATACAGTTCCTATGCACATGAAACCAAGGTCACACGGAGGGGCCTTCCCAGCTGATGTCAGAGCACGCAGGCCTCCCGTTAACTGAGTTGCCTTATCTGCAAAAAGCATCGGCTGCAAAGAAAGAAAGAAAGAAAGAAAGAAAGAAAGAAAGAAAGAAAGAAAGAAGAAAGAAAGAAAGAAAGAAAGAAAGAAAGAAAGAAAGACAGTAGTAAATTTACGAGAACATGCACTCGGTTTGTTCGTGTAAGCAAGATAGCGGCGCAAGGGCACATCCCACGAGTGCAAACTGAAGCCATCTGGTAAAAACCCCGCGGCGATCAAATAAAATAGCCGCTTTCGTAACCCCAAAGCGCTCCAGAGAAATGAGGAGCAAAATGTGTTCCTTTAGTGCTCGGACCCGCGCGCGCATAAGGGACCAACAGCGAAGAGGCGCCCGGCAGTTTTAATAACGAGCCTATGGTTATGAGTACGATGCGGTCGAAGTGGATGGCATATACAGTGACCCGATGAACGCCTTCAGGGCCAACTTTGCCCCACCTCAAGCTACACGTGAATCTTGATTTCGAGTGCAACAGCTGCAAGAGATGTGGCGTTGACGATCCTGTGATTCCACAAAGTGCGACGTTTTTTGTTATAGGAAATAATGCGTTCTGATGCCGCATCGATTAGTAATGACAAAACGTGATGATGGCTTTCTTGCTGCGAAGGGTTCGAAAAAGTTGATTGCATAACTGGAAAATGACGAAAAAGCTGCAATATATATATATATATATATATATATATATATATATATATATATATATATATATATATATATATATATATATATATATATATATATATATATATGTACTCAAGTCAAAGCCAATTAAAAGCTGCACTATTAATGCAGGACAGTGTGTATTCTCGTAAACGAAACGAGCTAGACGAGTTAACGATTAAATATTGAGATGTGGACGCCGCTGTCAGTTTTTACTACATTTTTCTTCTTCCCTTCCAGTGATGGTCGCGCGCACAACTGAGACAAGCTTAAGAACGAGATGTAATGTATAGCATAAAACATGTTATTCATTGCAAGCAATAAGATTTGAAAATGAATTTTGCTACAGCGATTGGAGTAACATTGGTAAAATGAACAAGTCTAATACACGATTTCCATGAACGAACCAAACTCAAGGTTGGCGACGTATATAGGAATGACAAAATGAATGTCAGAGACGCGCCTAGCCACCAAAAACAGTAAACATATGGCTTTGATTTCATAAAAAAATACCAAAAAATAATACGCAGAAATAAAGGGCGGCATACAATGGAAACAGCAACGCTTATAAGAGAGAGAGAAAGAAATGCAACGTGCTCAGACACAACAATGACAACCTAAAGAAAAAGCCAGCAGAAGGCTGCGGCAGTATGTCTCTTCTTTCACATACATTTTCTTTTTACAATGTACTCGAAATAAATACTGCGTATGTGTACATATATACAATTCATTAGTATTCTGAAAAAAAAAAGCACCTGAGGTGAAGGGAATGATTGACACCAGCGCGCACGCGGCAACCTGAAAAAAAAAAACCCATTGCCGAAAAAAAAAAACACGGTAAAATAAAAGAGCAAACACAATTGGTCGCGAGTTGCGCCAAGCAGAACTAAGCCCCCCCAAACGAGGACGAAACGGGGGAGGCGAGAATTCCATGGCGACGATTGGTCACGCGATGAGCGTCTCCTGTTGAAAATTTTACACGCACGCGTAAAAGAGTGTTTTAGAAAGCTACGGAAACAGGTTACGGAAAGGCGGTTAACACGAAAACGCCTGACAAATGCGCATGCGCGACCATTGTACGCGCACACGGAAAGAAACCGTTTCGTATTTCCGTAACGTGTTTCATAGCTTGCTAAAACTCACTAATAACGGTATCCACACTTCGTCTCCAAATGCTTTTCGAGACCCAATCACAGTCGTGCAGTGCACACACATTGTCGGTGACCAATCCTGAAAATGGCGCGTAGAGCGATTCTCGCTTCAAACAAAGTTTTCTCGAGTATACCGAGAGCAAAAAAATGAAGTGTAACCCATGTGAATTCAAGCTCTTATAACGAGCAGAGATGAGTTTGGGTGGAGGAGGCGCGTGTATTGAAAATTGTGCTCTTGACAACGTGTAATCGGTGCCGTGTTTGTAAACGACGACAACTTCACGTTACGCAATAAAAAAAGAAAATCAAGTGGTACCATACTATCTTTTTCTTCTAATTGTGCAGAACGACATTCACTAAAACAATAAATAAAAATAGGAGTACGCTTGCACCTAGCATTAGGAAGCGAGAAGGGAGGAGGCTTTGCGCTCGCACGAAGTTGTCGGCCGTGCCAGGAACTCGCGATTATCAGGCGAAATTTTTTTGTTGTTGCTTTCCTTTACTGTGGTTTTTCTGCGTTCCGTATTCGCGGTGTATGTATAAGGGGCTGTATGAAAGTGCTGCGACGCGTTCGCTCTCTTTGGTGATGAAGCGACGTCCGAGGAGTGCCAGCGTCCTGCAGCGACCAGTGCACCTGTTTGGGAAAGGGGAACTTCGCCGCTACGCGCGGCATTATACGATGAAACACGCACAGCACGGGAATTTAGCGGGCGCGACTGGTAACGCGAAGAGTACACCTCGCGTTCATCTGCGGGCAAATCGCTCGCAGAGAGTGGTGGCCCGGCCCTAAACCCGTCGTGCGAGCACGTACACAACACGGAGTGATCGGGGGGGGGGGGGAACGCACATGAGATGAGAAGATGATGCCCACTCATTCCTCGTACGCGCACGACATTCCTACTTGTATAACAGCGTGGCGGGTCACATCAACTAGGCCAAGGGAGAACGCAGTCTCGTCCAGAGAGGCCGAGTGACGACGCCGCTCGCGGGATTACGTGCAGCTGCAGGTGCGGGGAACGCAGCAGACACACAGCGCGCGCTTAATTCATCAGCGCCGTTATAATAAAGGAAAAAAATGCTAGTGTAAACAACAAAACAATCAGACTCGACACGCAAGGACCATTGGAGACTGACGGAGGGATGCGTATGTACAGGTTGATGATGGCTTTGTCCGAGTTCAGGCCGGAGAGAGCGGCGTGGACCAGAAGGGGAACCGTGGCGCGGCCTGGTGGCGTCAGCTCTTGTTGGTGCTGGTGTCGTTCAACACCTTGAGCCACTCAGCCTGGGACACGTTGGCGAAGGGCGACCGCGGGATGTCCTCGTTCCCGCGCTTGAGGAACATGAATTGGAACCACCTGTGCGGGGGCACCTTGCGGCCACGCACCGGCTTGCCCTTGCTGTTGAAGCCGATGTACCAGTTGCCGTTGTACACCGACTGGAAGGTGGAGTAGTTGTCTCGCATGATCTCGCGGAACTCGCACAGGCCTTTGCGCCGGCTCATCCGCCTCTGCGCAAAGAAAGGAAGAGGCGATACACGCGCGTCACTATAGAGACTCGAAAAGCGTTGCCACGGCTGCGGGGTAGCACTTATCGCGATACTGAACGCGGCCAAAGGCATCGTTATCCGAATGCAATGCGAGCGATCGCGAAACGCCGAAATTCGGAGCGAAATATAATATGGCAGGCATTACGGCGCAATCTCTCTCGCTGGGAGGCGCCGTTCCAAGGCCACGGAAGTGCTTACTTGCGACGCCGCACACGTATCACTTGTAACTCGAATTGCAAAGTCGATGCACTTTCTCTTTCTAAAGAGATCGAAACGGGTCGAGGCACAGTTCGGAGGCTACAAGGTATGCGTGAATTCGAAGGCGCTCATGCAAGTGCCAGTAATTGGACTTCCCCGGCGGGATTTTTCTGTTCGCGTTATCGGGTGAAAAGGAGCGTGAAGGAGAAAAAAAAATGGAGTGGTATTAATGCATCCAAAGTTTGAAAAAAAAAAATGATCTCCGCTGCATCTATGCTGTAGGTGCACGCGAAACACGACCGAGTGCGCGAAAAAATAAAAAAAAAGAAACCCGAAGGCGAGAGGTGATCGCAGAAGGCACCCTGCCATGATGACCGAGGAGAAAGCAAGAAACAAAAAAAAAAAAGCGAGCAGGATATTGGCAAAGAGGGATGATTCTCATCGCGGCGGACATGCGTGAGCAGCGACGGAGAAAACGCGGATGCGAAGCGCGAAACTGCCTCAAATAGCGCCGCATTTATCTTTAAGGCCGGAGCGCGCACGTCACGTGAGGCTGCTAACCACAGTGAAGCCGCTGCGCAAGGGCCACGAATCGGGCGGTGGTTTCCGCAGCCGGGTGCGCTTGTGTTTACTTGGCTGTCCAGCCGATATCGCGCGGTACTAGCCGCGGCGCCAAATAAGCGGCCAACCAAACTCAATCTGCGGCACGGAACTCCCAGGGTTCAGGGTGGGCCTCCGAAGAAGGGAAGAGCAACGAAACGGAGATGCATAAAAAAGCGCAGGACGTATAATATTCTTGCGAGGAGAAGGAAATGTTGTCGAAACACGCGGGGTTCGAGAAGTGAGGAGGCAAAAGATGCCGAGGAGCACCTTTTTTTTTTAACCTCTGTGATGCTCGAAAAGTCGAGCGCTCAGCGAAAACAAATGATCTTCGCACGGGGATCATGTTCGCGGTGCAACATTTAAGATGAGAAGAAACAAAACACGCGTACTGGGTATAAGCGATTTATATGATCTGCGTTACGATTAACGACCAATAAATTTTGTTGCGGCTAAACGTGCTCTTAAAACCAGCGAGGTGACGATATGAGGCGTTCTGTTGCTTATCCAGCTCTTGATAACATCGTAAACAAAATGCAAGACGATACAGATAAGGCCACGCCGAGGGGGGTTCCTGCCTCTGCGACTCGCGCATGCTTATTCTCTCCGAAAAAGTAGCCCTCTTGACGTTTAATGGGTCGCGCGGATACTCGCTCGGTTATATGCTTTAGCGTGGCGCCACGTCTGGTGCCTTGGAAACGTCATCTCGGTCCTTTGTCTAATAATGACATTCTTGCACGTATAGACATCTCTATTGTAAGGAAGAATAAAATTGTTTAATGACAGCTTGCAAGTAGGGCCTTTCGAGGATTTAGGTCCATTGCACTGAATCTTTGACGGCGGAAAAACGCTCGTGGTTGAAATGATTGCGAAAATTCCCAATATGAACTCTCTGTAGAGCTTTACTGCGTTAAGTGTGGCACCACGCAGTCCACAGGTACCCTAACACAGTTAAGCCAGCCGACAGAATACAAGGCGGTTACAGCTGCCATATGAGCAAGCTGTGTAAGCGGCAAATAAATACTTGTGAAGTAATGCGCGTTCAAGTCAAAAGGAAGGAATGCCCTTGCTCGCGACGGAGTGCTGACCGGGAAACGTGCCACCCATGAGTACAGCTCTGCGCGGTGGAGTGACACGCAAGAGTAACGGCCAACTTTCCAAGAAGCCCACGTGACCGACACTCCCCTGCGTGCGTACCCCACCGGAACCAGGCTCAAAGCGCAGCTACCGAGGAAATCTGCGGGTCCTGGGCGGCCATTACGGACAGCTACCGTGGAACTCGTTCGGCGCGCACGCACTCGGGTGGCCCTAACGAAGACGTCGTCCCCTTCGATTTCGCAAATTGCCGCCTGTTGGCCGGCCGTTCGTTTTCCAACAATGAGCTCACGATTGGCGCCCCCATGCGTTGGCCATTTCTGGCGGCGGAAACGCGCTGCCTCCTCGCCATGGGATACGGGAAAAAAAAGATGCGGCAGTAAATCTAGCCGCGTGCAATTTCTTCCGCTCGCCGTGGTGACGAAGCCGACGTCGTTTGTTACGGCGTAAGTGGCGCCCAGCGCTCGAGTTCCTTGGGGGCCGGCCAGCAGGGTTGACTCAGGGCAAGTATTTAGCCTAATAGCGGCGCCTTAATGAGCCCTAATAAAGGGGGCGGGCTCGGCGAGATGTCTTAATAGAGCCCCGAGTGACAGGTCTTACCTTGTTGACGAGCCTGCCGCCCTTGTTGAAACACAGGAAGGTGCTGTTGGAGCCAATGGTGAGCTCGGAACCCATGCCGACCGACGACAGCACCAGTTTGCCTGCACGAGAGAAGGGACAGCAGACGTTGGCCGCTGGACGCCGCAATTTCTGCAGCGGGCAATTACGAACCGGCTGCCGCTTTGATTCCGAGACGGCCCACGGGAGCCCTGGCTCCGCGCCCGTTTAAATACACCTATGTACTCGCGAGAATTCCTAATCGGCCTTGGCTGCACCAAAGCGCAGTGTGATACAAGCGTAGATGCCATCTGCACGACGGTTGCTGCGACGCTCGCATGCTGCGGCCACACGCAAATCGGCTACCCATGCGCGGCAGCACGCCATGTTTCATTAATAAATGCACCTCCATTATAAATGGAAGAATATTATTGACGCCGTACATGGAAGAAAAACACGTGCTACAGATATGCGCCCCGTTCGGCCAAACGAGGCAAAGTACCCATCATGCGATTGAGCTAGCTGCAGATTGGGAAATCCTTCAAGCTCCATCAGAGTGACTGCACACACCCGTCACTCGTGAACGTCGCTATTTCAGCGCTGTTTGCGCAATCGCTCCGAAAAACAAAAATTCTAGTGCTTGAGCCTCGTCGCAAGAACTGGTGAGGTGAAAAAGCGGACGTATACCTTGGTGTAACGAGGAAATCACAAGGATGGAACCAGGCGTGCTGCGCAAACAGACCCGACGAAAGGCAAACAGCTCGTGCGCATTGGCGCTTGTTTTTGTCAAGTTGGGTGTTCACGCTCCATATTATCTTCGGCTGTGTTTTTTGTGAACGTCGGTGAGAAAGCAGACACGGCCGTGTTTTCCCGAGCATGAAGCAACTGCCTAAGCGATTGGCTTGTTTCCGAGTCCCTCTACAGGCGTGTGCTTCCATGACTTTCTGCGGCACTGCCTGTTATTTTCTCCAGTAAACCAAGTCTATACGCCTCAGATACGTAATTGCGGGCTAAGAGCGATAGCAATACCAAATCTAGTTTTCGATTCGGTCATGCGCTGGCATGAACACCACCACTATTGTTGACACTATAGCACTAATTGTAGCATTGTATTAATGTAAATCGCCTTGCTTTTCTTGCCGCCCCACCACGGTGGTCTAGTGGTCATGGCTCTCGACTGCTAACCCGGAGGCCACGGGGTCGAACCCCGGCTGTGGCGGCTGCATTTTCAATGGAGGCGAAAATGTTCAAGGCCCGTTTACTTGGACTCAGGTGCACGTTAGACCCCCCCCTTCCCCCAGTTGGGCGAAATTTTCTGAACTTTCTACTACGGCATCTTTCATAATCATAGTGATTTTCATACGTTAAACCACATATATTATTATTAATATTATGTTTCTCTTGCCGGATGTGATCAAATAGGTGCGAGTGACTGCCACACAATTGGGAATGTTATGAAAGGGCGGTCGGGCAGGCACTAAACAGTAAAGAAAAACAAATTTACAGCTACAAAACACCATCTCACGCATAAAGCCCTATATGTGAACAGTGTTAGGACCGGCGCCAGGTCTGACAATGGATCGGCGTTCCTTTTGATGTTCCTTTTGAGTCGCCAAACGGGTTGGCGGCCTGTGTCCGCCATGTATTGTTCCCACCTGGCCGGAGGGTGCGGCGTCCTGCCGCCGCGGCGCCGTGAGCAGTTCGGGAGACCACCGGTGCAGCTTCTTCTTTGGAAGATGACGGCGGCGGCGGCGGCCGGGAATCGTCCCGCTAATTGAACGAATCGTTCGGCACCATTTGAAGCTTGTTTACGGCGGCCCTTTCGATGGATGCAGTCATCAACTTCAGACCCCTCGCCCAGCGACACACCTTGACGGGGGGGGAGCCGCGTTCGTGCCACATGGCCGTGCGGTGACCACGCTTCAGTTTTGAACGTTCGCGTGGACCGTGCGTGCTCGTCACCCTCGCGGGTAATGTGTGGTCCGTGATTGGACGGTGCCCTCTGTACGCGGTCCCCGATCTAGGGATCTGGGGAGGACAGACCCTTTATAATGAGCCCCCACGGCTCATTCGGTGTGCTTTTTCGAGTGGAGAGCTCGCCATGTACGAAGAACGCCACTATATATCTAAACTTTCTTATTGACCTCTCTCTAATGTAAATAAACGTCTGTTCTCTGTTTTCCCATATAAGCATTGCTTCTCGCTATAAGGGACGAGTCCGATGGGAGCCAGCTACCAACGACGAGACCCACAGGACTCAGGTCCCAACAACTGGATGGCAGCGGTGGGATCGAGCTCATCGACCAGGAGGCAATGCTGAGACCTGCTGTCTGGAGGACCTAGAGTCGGACAAAACTGCTTCGTGGCATCACTGACAACACTGGAAGGAACGCGTCCGAATTCATGACGGCATAGGGTGAGTGCACTGCTTTTCTTTGCTGAGATATCACCAGGCTTTGCGTAGGATTGTAAACAAAGCAGTGATTTGGTAACGGTGGACGGAAGTATTGATAGTACGTCAAAGTTGTTTAGTTAAAAGAGTTAGCAGCACCAAGGACCGCCATGAATTTGAAGGGACTAAAAAAGCCAGAGTTGTTAGAGTTGGCCCGAGAGCTGGGCCAGGTAATTGCCGAGACGAAAAGAAAGCAGGAGATCATTGACGCCATCGAGAAGATCGGGGCAGATGACGAGGAGCTGAGCGAATGCTTGGAGGCTATTACGCAAAGGAAAGAGGAGCAGAGGCTCCGTGAGGAAAAAGAGGAGCAGAGGCTCCGTGAGGAAAAAGAGGAACAGAGACGTCGTGAGGAAAAAGAGGAACAGAGACGTCATGAGGAAAAAGAGGAAAGGGAAAGAGAACGTATCGATCGTATGGAAATGAAACGCCTAGAAATTGAACTAGCAAAGGCTCAATCAATGAACGGAGCTAGCGCAGTGGCACGAGAAAGAGAGCGCCGAATGACAGATTTGATGCCATCCTACGCGGTAGGAGGGGACATGGGTCTTTTTCTGGTGCACTTTGAGCGCACGTGCGAGAGGGAAATTTTGCTAAAAACACGTGGCCCCAGCGCTTGCTTACGCTGCTGCCGTGTGAAGTAGCTGACATTATAGCCCGTATGGGTAAAGAAGACGCAGACGACTATGACAGAGTCAAAGCGAGTCTGCTCAAAAAGTACAGACTGTCAGCGGAGGCGTTCAGGCGAAAATTTCGTGAGATCGAGAAAGCCAAAGACGAGTCATACCCAGAGTTTGCGTACACCTTAAAGGTAAATCTGGAGGAATGGCTTAGAGAGGAGGGTGCGCTTGGCGACGCGGAAAAGACTCTGCAGTGTTTTGCGTTGGAACAATTCTTTCGGCGTCTACCTGAAAACATTAGGTACTGGGTTCAGGATAGACAAGGAGTAGATACTATCACAAGAGCGGCAGAGCTCGCAGAGGAGTACGTAAATCGCCGTGCCCTCGAAGGCGAGGATGTCCCTAGGAGGGAGATTAGTAAATATCGGGCCGACAAGCCTCCGCGATGGACAAAGTCGGGTCGGTATATGCCGAAGGAGGGTTTAGACTCCAAAGGAAGCGGTGATGAGAAAAACAAGAGAAAGGAAGAAGCACCCGAGAAAAGGGCGGAAGGGCAACAGAAAAAGGCGTTCGAGGCCAAGAAGCCGATAGTTTGCTATAACTGCCAACAGACGGGGCATATTTCTTTGGGTTGTAGGAACCCGAAAGTTGTGTTAATGTCACTCTGTAGTAATGACGAAAACATGAAATTGCTAGAGCCCTACATCCGAGACCTAGTCGTGAACGGCCAACCGTGCCGCGTGCTCCGCGATTCGGCCGCCACTATGGATGTAGTGCACCCGTCCTATGTCGAGGAGAGTCAGTTTACAGGAGAATGCGCATGGATAAGACAGGCAGTAGAGACAAACAGTGCATGTCTCCCAGTAGCAAGAGTCCGCATCGAAGGCCCTTTCGGTGTTCTAGACACTGAAGCTGCCGTTTCGGCACATCTCCCAGTGCAATACCCGTATTTGTTCTCAAATAAATCAGAGTACTTGCTGCGACAAAAGGGAATTGGGTTCAGTGAGGGTATCGTACAGGCCTTAACTCGATCCAAAGCAAGGGAGCTCGCCGCTCAGACAGTTTATAAAGATCCGGTGGCAGACGAAACAGCTTCAGCGGCAGAGCCTTCTTTACCTGGCACGAAACTGGACCACCCTATAATGGAGCCTCAAAACACAATATCTAAAGAAAGATGTAAGAAACCGGATGAATCCGAGGCATCTCGAGAAGTAGAATGCACTATAAAGCTGTTAAATGTAAGTCCTACAGAACTGATAGTGGAACAGGAAAATGACTCCACTCTCCGTAACCTAACGCCAGACGCGAAGGAAGGGGTGGCTAAGCAAAACATTCAGTTCACCAAGAAGGGGGGCGTCTTGTACAGAAAGTACACGAGTCGAAAAGGAGTTCGGTTTAATCAGCTAGTCGTACCGTATCCTTTCCGCAAGGAGCTGCTGCACCTGGTCCACGGAGGTTTGTGGTCAGGGCATCTCGGCATCAAAAAAACAAAAGAATGTTTGTTACGGGAGTTTTACTGGCCCGGCTGCTTTCGGGAGGTGGAGGCATTTGTAAGAAGCTGCGACACGTGCCAACGCGTTGGCAAGCCAGGGGATAAGGCTAAAGCACCTATGAAGCTGGTCCCCATTATCACAGAACCGTTTCGCAGGCTAGTTATAGACACAGTGGGTCCACTTCCTGTAACGCAGTCCGGGTACCGGCACATACTCACAGTGCTCTGCCCGGCCACGAAATTCCCGGAAGCAGTACCGTTAAAGGAGCTCAGCTCGGAAGAGGTAGTTAAAGCGCTTTTATCTATCTTTGCACGTGTAGGCTTCCCTGCAGAAATTCAGTCCGACCAGGGATCTGTTTTTACAAGTGCACTAACCTCGACATTTCTAGAAAAGTGTGGTGTTAAAATCATCCACAGTTCAGTGTACCACCCTCAGTCAAATGCTGTAGAAAAGGTACATTCAGTCATGAAACGGCTGCTACGCGCCCTTTGTTATGAGCAAAAAGAGGATTGGGAGGCTTGCTTGCCCGCAGCTATGTT